ATTTCGACTTCACGTCGGCTGGCGTATATATCCGCCAAGACCTCAAGTGCTCGCGTGGATGCTATTCGATCGATATCGACGTCCACTGATCGCTCTGTGGTTGTAACTGCTGCTAGTTCGTTGCAAAACTGTTCAGTCTCTGATATGGGTCGCTTGCCGCGCTTGAGGACGCTACATTTCACATCAGGATCCAGTTATGACACAACAAATATTGGACATACCCGAGAAGATAATTCCAGGCGCTCTCGTTTTGTGGTGCTTTCAATATCGCCCTCTTTGCGTAACTATAATTCAATTAGCACTTTGATTGACTCTCGAGCTGGTTTAACATTACATACTCCATCTCGTCGTCAATTACAGACTGGGAAATATCCACGCCCTTCCCAAACACCGCGAAAAACCTATGATTCCAAGCCGAATTATTCCGGACATCATTTTCAATCATGCGATCAGTATAGGGCAACTCCGTGACCCACAGATCAAACCTCCGGACCAACCATTGTCTATACGACCAAACATGGTAATTCTTGGAATCCAGTTCCAGCATTACTTCAATAAACGGGAGTTCTCGAATCGGATTGTCGTATTTATCAACGATCACTTCGCGGTGATTCCTATAGTAATGAGTGATATTGATAATAGTGATGGGAAGCGCAGACGGTTTCCGCTTACCATATTTGGTAATTCTTGGGGAATTGCTGGCCGACTTCTTCAATCCAAATCAATTCTTGTTCCAAATCCTTCTTTAGCGCAAATAATAAGCGGGCTCTATAAGCCCTGTTCACCTGTTAGCTCTTTGTCCATCGACACACTCATTCGCTGACGCAACTCACCAGACAGAATAATGTGCCGGATTCATAAAGATCAAGTCCGACGTTAACTGCAGCGCGCGGTCTGAAACCTCTTCGACACTCATAACAGCACGTAAGTACCCAGTCGCTGTTTTGTAATCATCCTGGTACGCGATGGGAGCGAGTGGGTTTTCCCCGCCGTCGTCCTGTGGAATGGGTACGATGTCTTCCCATGAGTAGTCTGATATGTAGGCCAATGGCATGATTTCTCAACAGTACTGTGGACGATAGATTCCTAGCTAGATAATAAAGAAAGGCTAAGAGAATCAATATATGTCAAGGAAAAAATATATATAAGATTCCGGTAGGATCATTACTATATCATCGGACAAGACTTGCATGCCTGGTATTCAGGAGGATTAGAATTGTTTCGCGGGACAAAGGCAATCACCAGCCACAATTTTAAGGTTTAGCTAGCACCGCCACAGATCAAACAAATTATGTGATACAAGAACGCACGCGGGCGGGCGGGCCGAAGCAAGCTTGTAAATTAATTTTTGTCGACCAAGGTGCACTCTGCGAATTGTGGGGATACTCGCCTCAAACAGGCGCTCTTTACCGACAACAACTCGTGGCGGACAGATTATTTTATTCCCGTAAACGTTACGGTCAACTAAGACTAAGCGCTCGGGTTCTTCAGCAATTGCGGCTAATTGCGGTTGGTTAGGCAGTTTCACACGTGCATGCGAAGCTACTCGAGTCAAGTCTGTCGTGCACTATAAAAAAGGCAGACATTTCACAGTTTATATCCGAAATTGAATATCTCGACAATCGACTAACAATAAAGTCATGGCCTCGGCAATCCGTGGACCACGCGACCTTCCCGAGTCACGATATGACTTGTCGACGTACTGGGGACGCGTGAAGCATAGCGCTGATGTGTCGGATCCTCGGTGAGTATGCCTGACATGAGTGGAGAAATTGAGGATCTAGTAACTAACACTGTGTTAAGAATGCTATTAATTACGAAAAAGAAATTATCAGAAGCAAAATCTTTGGTTTCCGATTACAAGAATGGCAAAATCGCAGTTATGACACCGCAACTGTGGACTTCTAAGAAGATCCTTGACTCAACCATACATCCTGGTGCGCTTTGTCTCATGTTCATGCTGTATAAGATACTGACGTAGGCTATAGATACTGGTGAACCGGTATTTCTTCCATTTCGAATGTCATCATATGTGCTCTCTAATCTTGTCGTTACGGTGGGAATGCTCACGCCGAATATGGGCGTAAGTAACTTCCAGTGAAGTTTAAAAATTGATCTAACCATGAATTAGGCATTTGGCACGCTCTTCTGGCAGATCACCAATCAGTCGCTAAATGTCGCCATCAATACCGCGAACAGTAACAAGTCTCACCCGTTGACCACTCAACAACTCGCTACGTCGTACGCGATGGCAGTCACGGCTTCGTGTTCAGTTGCCCTTGGACTCAATTCGCTTGTGCCGCGCCTAAAATCGCTATCAGCAAACTCACGACTAATCCTAGGTCGTCTCGTCCCTTTCGCCGCTGTCGTGTCGGCCGGCGTAGTCAACGTCTTCCTGATGCGTGGCGAAGAAATCCGGAAAGGCATTTCGATCTTTGATGCAGACTCGGGCGAAGTCGTTGGTACCTCGAAAAAAGCGGCAACTTTCGCTGTCGGCGAAACCGCCATTTCCCGCGTGTTGAACGCGTCGCCAATTATGGTGATTCCCCCACTTATACTAGTCCGATTGCAGCGCAAATTCAAGATGACGAAGCCAATTGAGACGGCCACTAATTTGGGCTTAATTCTCGCGACATCGTTTGTCGCGTTGCCGTTTGCGCTTGGCGTATTCCCTCAACGTCGGACGATTGATGTTACGAGATTGGAAAAGAGGTTTTGGACTTTGAAGAATAAAGAAGGCAAACCCATCACGAAGGTGCAATTCAATAGAGGCATGTAAGAATATAGAAATACAGATGGGTGTATATTTGTACTAGTAGCCGATTGTATAGAATAAAAGTGTATGTCTAGCCTGCGCTTTCGGGACTTATCGTAACAGTCTTCATCAAATTTTGCGTACGGCAAGTTACATCAAATGCACCTCGAAATATACCAAGCAATATAATAGCTCCTTCCACAAGGCTAAAAATACAAGCTAAACTCACTATACGTGATTACGCGGAGTGAGTGCATTTGATTAATTACAGACTAATGCTAAATTAAAAAGCAAACACCACTTTTATGCTTTCAAGATACAGCTGTTAAAGATTCGCACAATAAATCAAATCCTCGTTTAATAATATTAACAATGGTCTACCAAAACGCCCAACCGTCAATCGAACCTACTCCAACTGTTTTCTGAATATCTTCCCGATCACCCAGTCCTAACATATGATGCAAGGAAAACAGCTTCTCTTCCCATTCTTCCCACTCTGTCGCATCCGACTTTGTTGGTAAAAGACAGCCCGCTCCAAATCCTCCAAGGCTAGTTTCAAAAACCTCGAAGCCATGACCTTCGAGTCGCTCTTTTAATTCGAGTATCCTGGACTCTTCAACATCTACTTCTCAGTTAGTACAGTTCACTGGACTCCTCGCTTACAATGAATGCCTCACCTCTTTTAACTAACGTGATGGCACAACCACCGCCACCAGCACCAGTAAGCTTGGTCTCTCCAATCTCGAGCTCGTCGGCCGCCATTCTAATCGCTTCCAACTTAGGATGGCTCACACCTAAGGCGACCAACAAACCATGATTTACACGGACAAGCTCACGCAACCGCTCCTCCCACAAATCATCGCACTTTTCATTTGGCATCAGGAGAAGCTTATATGCCTCGCTAGTTAAAGCTTGAATACCATTCAAAATCGGCTCCGTCACAAGCGGATAATTCTGAAGTAGTGTAGCCACATTCGCGACCTGAACAGCAGTCCGACGTGGCTGTCGCGAGTCAATAAGAAGCAACTTCAAGGGCGGGAAATTGCGCATGGATTCTCGCACGTTGGGGTTGCCTTTGGTCATTCGCTGAAACATTACCGCGCCACCGTGACTAGCGACCGCGTTATCAATTCCGGACGGGTTGCCATGAAGGCATCGTTCGCCCAAGAATGCCCAGGCATCAATCAGCTCGATATTGGCGTAGTTGGCGGCATTGAAGTCGCTATCGTCATCGCCTTTCGTCTCAGGAGGCGAGACTTCACCCGAGAGGAGACACAAGGCTGCCGCAAGACAGACCGAGACCGAAGCTGAGGAACCAAGGCCAGCGCCAATTGGTAGTGTTGACCGGACAGAGAACGTCATACCGGGCATGTCCGGGTTGCAGAGGCAGAGGTAGAGGTACAAAAATGCCAGCGCAGCAGAGCGCTGGAGCGGATGGAGGACCGCTACAAGACTCTGCTCTAGCGCCTCCATGAGCGCGGTATTCAATTCCGACGGAGGCCGAACTGTGTCCATTGACCGCTTAGGTACAACATTCCATGGCAGCGAAAGTATCTTCCACGAATACTGTAGTTCGACATCAGGGAACTCTAATGTAACAACGTCTGAAAATTCCGGTGCATGTTTAGTTGTCAAGAGGTACGACCGTAACGACACGGCAGCGGCAATGGCAGGCTAAAATAAATTAGTATAGGTTTCATTATGTTTATGAGTAGCGTCATTGTGGCTCACCTTGCCATAGACAGCAGCATGTTCGCCGAACAAGATGACCTTGCCAGGCGCTGAGACGAGAAAGGGCGCGGACACCATGTCCGCTCGCTAAGACTTAAAGCAATATAAACGAACTCAATGGAAACTATTAATGACTCGAAACGAGTGACTTTTGTAAGGAGAACGAACACTGCGGAGACTATGAGTAAAAGGGAGGACTGATGGTGACAAATGTTGTTGCGGGCTCAGGCTTGATACATCGTGTGGGGCGTATTGGTGTAACCCGGCGGCCGAAATGGGCCCCTTTCAGATCGACGACTCTCAAAACTGCGACGCAGCCAGCCGCACTCAAATTGCATATTGTCTCCGTAATAATAATGTACTATCGATTTCTCCCAAGCACTGGCTTTCTTGATAGGTTTCGTCTGAAGTCTAACGTTTTACTTCTGAAGTCAATATTTACAAATACAGGGGACCTTTACCTTTGTTCCCTTTTCTTCCTAACTAAAAAACAAATAATTATAGCAAAAATAAGCGACCCCGGAGAGGATCGAACTCTCGATCTTACGGTTAACAGCCGTACGCCTTAACCAGCTTGGCCACGGAGTCATAAGGTTATGACGAACACAACGCCAATGACCCCCATAGTCAACTTCGCATAAATTTCTAGTAATAATGACAATTAAACCCTCATATGTAAATCTTCAGAAGAATAGGCATAAGGATCACAATTACACAAAACGCCATCTCTTTTTACCGTTTGGATCTAGTATACAGTCGGGTTCATTAAGCTGGCATTTTAACGTGCTGCTCTAGTCGGATTTGGATGGCCAATGCAGGACCCGACTGTGTTCATTGGTATGATTTTAGCAGATACCATGATAGAATGACCATATTGCATAAATATCCCGGTTATTATACCCCAATTGCACCCGCAAGCAAACAAATTTAAGCTATAGTACATGCAAAAACTCGCATTAGAGCGAATACATTACTCCTCCTCAAGTTCATCAAAATCTGCCTCATCCTCCTGATGCTGCTTCTCAATATATCGCTCAACCTGTCTAGCGATGGTTGGATTCTCGATCAGGTTCGCCTTGAACAATATCTTGTCACACCCTGCTACAGGACACTCGATACTATCTAAATATCTCTGACGGCCACGCGAATTTTCGACGAAAAGAGAAAAAATCGCGTCCTTAGAGAATGTGTGGGGGCAAACGTTCGAAGTAACTGGATTCACAAGTAGCGCCAGTGACACTGGACATTTAAGCGATCTCTTCTCCTGTGCCACAATGAGGTCCTCATCTCCATCATTCGTATCTCGCTCGTGAATCTCGGTAATCGTCTTCGAAGCGCCATGCGCGTCGAACCAGTCCTCTATCGGTGGCATATCCTCATCTCCATACGTATTCTCCCAGGCTCGACGCTTGAAGTTTATATACTGCGTGTTTCCCGAATATTTCTGCTTGTCGTTCTTTGCTGAATTCCTTTCCGCAAACTCTTCCATAGCATCCAAAAAAACTGACGCTGGATCTTCAACCTGATTGTTCCTCAGAAGCGCGCGATCAATTGCTTGGGGCTCGGAATTCACCAAAACCTCAATATCGATCAGCGTCTTTAAATTGAGCTCGAGCACGTCCGCGGCCATTCCAAATTCCGCGCGACTTGCTGCCGTATCTTCCAAATACTTCATAAGATCCTTTATGCGCGAGACACCATTCGATACGAACCTTGGTAGGTTTTTGATCGTCTGCTGTTCCTCCTCGCGCAGGAATAATGGAGTGTCGTCAACCTGCTGACCTTGACTCGCAGAGGAGATGCCTTCCATCTCCTTGTCTGAATCGTAACCAGCGCCCATTTAAACCTAGACAGCTGACAGTATACAATATGGCAATTCGATAGCAGCCGTTGTCGTGGTACTGATGCTGGGATATGTATTGCACCACGGCTGGCAACAAGATTACGCGTTAGTCTCACGCTCAGGGCACGTCGCTTGCGACGCGTACAACTCTGGTGTTACCCTACAATGGTATATGGTGAGATCCCCCGTGGTTCGAGACACCTCGAATAGATGAATCTATCTTAACTTTTAACATTTTAACTGCGTCAACGTAAAAATAGTTAGATTGACTTAGAATGACATCTTACTGATTTGGCTATTTGGTGATATTAATTAAATATGATTACTTGCTTTAACTTATTAACTGGCACATATTTCAGATTATGGGATAGTATAGAATTAGCCTATTACCATCTCGTGTCGGCTATATAGGACAGGGAACCGATGCTAGAGAACAAGAACCAGGGCTGCAAAGCGATTTTCAAAACCTAGAACTCATAAAATATTTTCAATAACGTAATCCATAAGCGAGCTGCGCACCCAAGCGGGCTGCGCACTTGGCCACCTACAAGCACGTTCGAAGTTCAACAAGTCCACGACAACACAGAAAATCAATTTAATCTACTCTGAAACCTCAGCATTAGACGTCTCCAATAGTTCTTGACAAGTGCGCGCATTATGGCCTGTGTTTCCGCAGACACCACATCGCCGTGCACGTACTTCTCTCCGCGACCGACGACCACTGTTTCGACGTAATTCTTGCTGTACCTGCTGTTCTACGTCCCTCTGGGATATCAGATCTTGCCCCTCTTGTAGGTTAAGTGATCCTCCTGGCTGCAAACGTGTCTTTTTGGCTCTACGACGTTTACTTAATATCGAATTGGCCTCCCGGAGTTCGGACAGCTCGGCGCGTAGAAGAGTAACCTCGTGCATAACAGCTGCTCTCGCGCACCTTTCGCAAACTGGTCGACAGCGCCGTAAATCGAGGTTGGCGAGCTATCCTGATGCCTGGCAATTCGATTCTTGACAAATTCGGATTGCGAAATTGCTTCTGTCGGGTTTTGTGGTGTCTTCGATACCCAAGGTTGAGGCCGAGTAGAGGGGACCCAAGGGGTGTTGGGGTCCTGATCTTAACATCCAGCTTCGAAATGACACTTTCCGGATCGAACGGAATAAGTCCTGCTCCTCTAAAGCCCGCTTTAATATTTCTTTCGGTCATTGCAACCTGGAATGCGGCGTGAAATGCTGAAAAGAAATCTTCCTTAGTAATGTGCGTAATACACGCTCGCGTCAAGTCTTCGACTTTCCGACCGTACGCTTGCTTTAGCGGGCCAAAGCAACCAACGTCTAATGGTTGGAGCTTATGAGACGAGTGAGACGGCATGCAAAGGGTAATAATGTTGTGTTCTTTGCAATAGAGCTCGAAGTCGGTGGAATGGTGGCTTTCATGTCCGTCGAGGATCAACAGACGATATACTCCGGAAGTTTGTGACTTTGTATGCTTATCAAAAAGTTGAATCCATTCTAGGCCCCTTTCGTTCGTTGTCCAACCATTCGCAGTAAGAGCGATCACCCAGTCGTGAGGTATTGTGCTGTTTTCATACCAAGACGATAGGTGATTTTTGCCCGCAACGATGATATACGGCGGGATAGCTGAGCCGCGAGAATTGATCCCCTGGATTACTGTAGCCCATTCCCTGTTACCTTGCTGAGCCATCCTTGGTCTTTCACGTCGTTCGGAGCTCGTAACTACCATGCCGGTCGAGATTATGCCCATCATGAACCCGGTCTCGTCGAAGTTGTATACATCATCCACCGCGATGCCGTATTTGGTCATCGTATTCCGCACAAGTTCAAACCACGATCGAAACACGTCTGGATCCTCGCATTGGACTCTCTGATAGTCGATTTTTCGATTTAGACGCGTTCGGAGCTCGGGTTGTCGCTTGACAAAGTTTGAAGCCCAGTTCTTTCCAATAGGTGACGCGTCAGCGGTCGCGCAGCAGTCGATTAGCCATATCTTCAACACTAGACAGTCTAGGAGGAAATGATCGCGAATCTAGGTCGATTATATATCGGACAATGGTAGCTTCCTCTAAGTTTGTAAGCTTTCGCGAATTGGCCGGGATATCGTGTCGTGATGGTGTGCCCTTCAAACGCGACCTTAGAGTAGATTCGCTAACAGAGTAGATCGCTGCGGCACGTCTTTTACTAAGATTTGGGTCTCGGTCAATTGCCTGGATGGCAATATTCAATCTGGCTTCCTTTGAAGTTAATTCCATTTTGTTTGTGGGAGAATCAAGTGTTTAAAATTGGACTGTGTCAATTTCCGTGAAAGTGCGCAGCTCGCTTATGGATTACGTTATACACAATTGCATAATAACGCATGGGCCGCAGCCGCTAATCTACAGGAGCACTGCATCGTCAACTAACGCTCTAAAGCTCATCCTTAAACATATTCTTGTAGTGCAACAATGACTCTATTGTTACCGTTGAACCTGCCAAACCCAATTAGAAATCGAAAAACGCACCGGCATCTATTGGCGCTTACCTCCGCAGACGACAATGACAGAAACACTGTCTGGATCCAAGCTCAGCTGACTACTGAGGTCGTACTTGTCAGCATAATACCATGGAGCTAGAGCGGCACCGCATGCAGGCTCGACAAATAAACGATGTTCGTCTAGGATCTTGAGACAAGAGCCTACAGCCTGTGCATCGGTAACCACAACTGGACTTGTAGGATATGTCTTCGCTGCATCGAATGCCTCACTGGCGACTCTATCCGCGCCCAAACTACTAGCGATAGAGCTGATCGCTGGTAAACTCACCAGTTGTCCTGCCTTAAGAGATGCATTTAAACTCTCAGCACCGTATGTCTCGACTGGGATAATGACTGGCTGCTCTCCAGGTGAAGGATAATGTCGCTTCAGACCAGCAACCAATCCACAAAACAAACCCCCGCCACCTACAGAGCACGAAATAGCCTTCAGCTTAGATTTATCGTAGCCTGCTTCCTGGAGTTGTTCGATAACTTCGTCAATCATGAAGCTGTGTCCCTCCCAGATCAGCGGATCATCGAATGGAGGGCAATATCGTGCTGGACCGTCCCTGTACTCATCAATCATCTGACGAACCTTCCTATCAGCTTCACTCCACATGGACCCATGGACGATAACAGTAGCGCCATAGGTGTCCCTCAAGCGCGTCACCATGTGAGGAGCAACGTTACTCGGGACGACCACGGTGCATGGACATCCGTACTTTTGGGCGGCATGAGCTGCAGCGCATCCAGCATTGCCACCGGATGATGTAAAGATGTGAGGCTTTGTTCCTGGCGGTGAGTTCAGAAGCGCCTGCCGGACAAGATGGCCGATTCCACTGCAAGTTGTGTCAGGATTTGACATTATAGAAGTGAAATCAATATGCTTTATACCGTGACTTGAACGAACCAGATGGCTGGAGTACCTCGAGCTTCAGTAGAACCGTACTGCTTGTTTGTCGCGTTAAACCAATTCAATATCAAAGCATCCTTACTACCTTCCAGTTTTCTTTGATAATGACTGAGAGTAAACCAATGGTGTTCTGATATAGGTAATATCTCGATCGCCGGAGACGCCATCCCCAGTTGAAATAGGCATGTCTATAAGCAACGCTCAGTGATAGATTGGACACAAAAAAACCGTTTCATCTTTCTATCCATGGGATACATTCAGTATTTATCTACACACAGTTTTAATGTCGGGCCCGGACAGAGCCGCGGAAC